CGCGAGCTCGGAATCCGCACGTGGCGGCGACAGCTTCCCCCGAGCAGCCGGGCCCTCCAAGGGCCCCGCTGCACCCGTGGGGATGGCGAATGCTGAGGAGTTTCACCCTCAGGACCCGTGCGTCGGCGGCTGCAGAGGGTCAAGGGAAGGGTGCGGCGAGGCGCGAAGGTTTCCCGCGCGGGGCCTGCGGGGTGGAGGCTTTGGGGCAGGAGGGAGGCGGGCCGGAGGAGTGACCCGTCCGCCGAGAGGATGACGCGGCCGGCGAAGAAGCACAGGGCAGAAGGACTAGGATGGGATGTTACCTGGAATGGCGGGCTGAGGAAGGCGTCCCGAGTGAGGTCCCCCGCGGGACGACGGAACCGGCTCCGACCAGTCTCCGGCGCCAGCGGTTCCGAGCGGCCGTGCGCCCGGAACGCAGGAGGTCCGCTGAGAGCCCAGGCTGTGTTTACATTCCGCGCCTACTCCACGTTGTGCAGCCGTCCTCGCCTGCCATTGGTCGGCTTGTCAGCCGAAACCTCGCTCCGCCCCCAGGGGGCGGGGCCGTGTGGTCCCCGCGTCTCTGGGGAAAGACTAGGGTTCCCCAAGGCCTTGGCGGGACAGCAGAGCGCACCCCGGGGTGGCCACTTCCAGGCCCGTCTGAGTCACCTCCCGAGAGCCTGGCGCCGGGCTAAACCTCAATCTTGACACCCTCTCCGACACTGGTGGGTTACAGTGGGAGGAGACAGGAGCGAACTGGCGGGAGATGCGGGAGCCGAGCGGCGGGGAGCCGGCCCCTGAGGTGGAGCCTCCCCGCGACCGCGCGAGCGCGCAGGCGGGCCGGCGGGCGGAGCGGAGCGCAGAGGCGGCCTGGGCGCGCGGGCTCTGCAGCGCCGCGAGGCGCGCCGGCGCACACTGAGGGCAGGGCGCGGCGCGCGGGCGGGTAGGACGGGCGCGCGGGCGGGGGAGGGGAGCGCGCTGTCGGAGGTGTCAGTCTGTGGCGCATGCGTGCGGGGCGGTCCTGGCCCGGCCTATATATTGGGTTGGCGCCGGCGCCAGCTGAGCTGAGCTGTACTGTACGGTAGCGGGTCTGGTGGTGAGTGGGAGCTGGGTTTTGGGGCGGGGGGCGATGCGAGAGGAAAGGGAGCCCCACTGGGCCATTCCATCCACCCCATGGGCGGGAATCTTGGGAGACAGAGGGGGGGAAAAAGGAGGGGGGAATGTGGAAAAACTAGGTGATCGGGAGTAATGGGTCCCCGAGTTCCTTCCCGGGCAGGGAACCGGGAGGCGACGTGGGGGGGGTCTCCCCAAGTGAGAAGCCACGGAAAAGCTCCTCATCCGGGGGCTTCTCCTACTCGCACTTGGGGAGCTCTTTCGTGGGGGAAAGGATGGAGTCTCTCTCCCTTTACCGGGAGAAAAGTCCTCAGCAGCCCAGCGCCCTTTCTTGGACTCTCCTCCTTCCCTCGCCCCCAGCCCCGTCTGGAGTTGGGGGTTCCGCGCCCTGCAGCGGATGGCGGGCGGCGGCGCCCGGGGTGGCCGGGAAGGAGGGAAAGGAGCCTGGAGGACGTGACACCCGCCTGTTCCTCCGCCCCCTGCCTCCCCGCCACCGCCGCTCTCCAAATTGGCGCGGAACCGGCTCCTCTCAGCCTTTCGCCTCCGCCACCCCCCGCTCAGCCGCTCGTTCAGGACCCGGGGTGGGAACGTGGGGACGCTGCCCTCGTCCCCTCTGAGTCTGCCAGGGAGGAAAGGTGGAAGACCAGAAAAACTCGTTTAGGGGAAACCTGCTTCTCTCGGTGGGTTCAGGGTACTCTACATTTCTGGAGAGCCTCGCTTCCCAGGTGTCCATTTATTTGAGGAAATGCAGGCATATGAGCAAATGAATTACCATGAGATAACAGAGTGCAGAAGACATCTCAGGCCACCTTCTGAGGGGCTTTGGCTGTAACCTCTCTGAATCAGTTCTCATCTGCACTTGGAGAATATGGCTAACAAAATACTTAACTGGTCTTTCTCTTCTTTCCCATTCAGAGGCTTCAAACACCTAAAAGAAGAGAATGTCAAGACGCAGGTAACATTATTTGTCTTGTCTTGAAAAGATGTTTCAAAATTAAGTGCTGCTTTTGAAACCTGTGACTAACTAAACTTCCTTCTTAAAAATTCACCACAGTAGCCGTTTACAAGCTAAGCAGCAAGCCCAGCCCAGACAGTCTGACTCCCCCCAAGAAGCCCAGATCTTCCAGGTCAAGAAGAGAAAAACAGCACAGGTGATTTAAAAAGAAATAGGGAGGGAAGGAGAGGAGGGGGTTCCTTATTGGGACCTTAGTTTACCAAGTGGTCTTTTCTATTTTCCAGGATGTCAAAAAGAGAAAAGAGGAGCAGGTCACCAAGAAACATCAGTATGAGATTAGGGTAATGCAGATCAGGGCTGGGTGGGTTTGGGGAGAAACAATGAAGGAGAAGGTGAATCAGAGTTAGAATTGTGTCTAATGATCTGCAGTACATAGGTTACCATGACATTCATACTTTCATTGCCCCAGAGGTCAGAAGGAAAGAGGGTTTCTTTTGTTTTTTTTTTAAAGTGCATGAATCCTACTACAGCTGTAGGGTAAGTTTGCTACAGCAGCTAGTTCCTTTTGATAAATCCCTGCCTCTTAGAGCAGTCTGGTGTACCAGGGCCCGCCTAATCTGTCCAATATACTGCTCTTTGTTCCCTTTCAGACTATAGTAGTGGGTCCTAATAGCTGCTTAGGCATAAATAGGATGTGTGATCACTGACAGTTTGGCATCAAGCCCTTTGCTACCTTTTCTTCCTATGTGTTGTTCAGAAACCAACATTATTAAAGTAAGGGTCCTATAAGCATTGATTCCATTTTTAAAATTTGCCCTCAAACACTGGAAAAGCCTAACTTAAGAATGTCTTTCAAAAATGACCTTGTTAATATTTCTTAATACAGAGATTTGCAATTTCTTTTTCCTTTAAAGTGATTAGTATTTTATATTACAAGTTGGCATTTTATATTACAAGTGCATTTTTGTTATTCTCCTTTAATTCTTGATATCGCATATTACCAAAATTGTATTTTGCTGTCTAAACATGTATGAAGATCAGTAATGAACTATATGAGCCTAGTGCCAATGGCTCATGCCTGTAATCCTAGCTACTCAGAAGGCTGAGATCTGAGGATTGCTGTTCAAAGCCAGCCTAAGCAGGAAAGTCTATGGAGACTCTTATTTCTAGCTAACCACAAAAACTTTCAAATGGAGCTGTGGTTCAAGTGGAAGATCACCAGACTTGAGCAAAAAAAGCTAAGGGACAACATTCAGGCTCTAGAGTTCAAGCCTGAGTAACAGCACACACAAACACAAAAGCTGTATGGCTCTTAAAATGAAATGTGAATGTAAAATTAGCTAGATTGTAAGCTTCTAAGAGGTTGTTTGGAAATATTAGCTTTCATTTATGAAAAATCCAGACAAAAGGTAAAGTTTCTTATTGTACCAATATATGTCTTTTTTTTTTCAATATCAGAATTGTTGGCCACCTGTATTATCTGGCGGAATCAGTCCTTGTATTATCATTGAAACACCTCATAAAGAAATAGAAACAAGTGACTTCTCCAGATTCACAAACTACAGATTTAAAAATCTTTTTATTAATCCTTCACCTTTGCCAGAATTAAGGTAAGAAAAATTTCAGCATTTAATTGGTTTAATGATGAAAATGTTGGACAACACAAAATAGTGCCATGTGTTATCTTTTACCTTAGTAATAAAAATAGAGAAACTTGCAAAAACTTGCTTCCTTTATCAAATCATTTTGAGAATAGAGCTATTTGCAAGTAATATGGTAACCTAAAACCTTGGTTCTATAATATTTTTATTTGCTTACTGAGTACTATAGATTTAGTAAAACTCAACTTCTTCAATAGCATTTAAATAATTTTTCTACAAAGACAACATGACAGTATTTTCTACTGATCTATCAGCTCTATTCCTTACCAAGTTTACTACAACATATTTTTTTTTTCTAGTCCACAAATATGATGGCCAGTGTTACAAGACAGGTAGTGTAGTAAATTGCCTTGAGTTATATAAGAAAAGTAGTGGAATCATCTATTTAAGTGCTTAAGCTGTACTCCCCTAAATTCTTTTTTTTTTTTTTTTGCCAGTCCTGGGGTTTGAACTAGGGGTCTGGGCACTGTCCCTGAGCCTCTCTCTGGTCAACACTAGTGCTTTTAACACTTGAGACACAGCACCACTTCTGGCTTTTTCTGAATAGCTTATTGAAGAGTCTTATGGATTTTCTTGCCTGAGCTGGCTTTGATCCACAATCCTCAGATCTCAGCATCCTGAGTAGCTAGGATTACAGACATGAGCCACTGGCACCTAGCTCTCCCTTAATTCTCTTTTTGTTGTTGGTGGTCTTGGGGCTTGAACTCTGGGCCTGGGTGCTGTCCCTCAGCTCTTCGGCTCAAGGCAAGCACTCTACCACTGGAGCCATAGTACCACTTCTGGTTTTCTGGTGGTTTATTGGAGATACGAGTTTCATGGACCTTCCTGTCCGGGCTGGCTTTGAACCATGATCCTCAGATCTCAGCCTCCTGAGTAGCTAGGATTACAGGCGTGAGCCACCAGCACCCCGCTCCCCTAAATTCTTTTCCACTTTACTTATATTGATTCTGCTGTTGATGATCTGTTCGTACTTGTCTTCATTGAGATCATATGCTTTAAATATTAAAGTTTAATGTTGTCGATGACAAAACTTTTGTACAAATTATAAAAGAAAAGCCAGTAGCCAGTGGCTCTGATTGTAATCCTAGCTTCTCAGGCTGAGATCCAGAGGATGCAGGTTCAAAGCCAGCCTGGGCAGAAAAGGTTTGGAGATTCCATCTGTAAAATAACAAGAAGTAGCACTGTGGCTCAAAATGGTAGAGCACTAGCCTTGAGCGGAACCAGGCCTGGACTTCAAGCCCCACAACCGATGGGAAAAAAAAAATCACTAACAAAGAAAAACAAAAACAAAAAAACCTGGGGCTTATGTGGCTTAATGGTAGAGTGCTTACCTAGCATGCATGAAGCCCTGGGCTTGATTCCTCAGTACCACATAAAGAGAAAAAACCAGAAGTGGCTCTGTGGCTCAAGTGGTAGAGTGTAGTATAGCCTTGAGCAAAAGCAGCTCAGGAATAGTGCCCAGGTCCTGAGTTCAAGTCCCAGGACTGGCAAAAAACAAAGCAAAAGCTGGGGTAGAGTTGTGATTCAAGTGCTAGAACACCAGCCAAGCAAACAAGCCAAGCACTTGTCAGACCCTGGTATTAACAACAACAAAAAAAGGGAGATGTCAAAGCATTCTCAATTTACCAATATAAATGGTCATAGTCCCAAGATGTCCAAATCCATAAGGATTTGAAGACTCACAAGCCTCAGGCTTCTGTTTTCTCAAGGGAAAAAAAATGGCTTTTAAAAATTAAGATAGAGGGGCTGGGAAGGTGGCTCAGTGGTAGAGCACTTGCCTTGCATGCATGAGGCCCTGGGTTCAATTCCTCAGCACCCACATAAGCAAAAAGAAAAAAGCCGGAAGTGGTGCTGTGGCTCAAGTGGTAGAGTGCTAGCCTTGAGCTGAAGAGCTGAGGGACAGCGCCCAGGCCCAGAGTTCAGGCCCCACGACCAGACCACCCCCCCAAAAAAAAATAAATTAAGGTAGAGCTCGCACCTGTAATCCTAGTTTTTTAGGAGGCTGACAGCTTGAGGATCATTATTCAAAACCAGTCCACGCAAGAAAGTCTGTGAGACTCTTATCTCCATTAAGCATCAAAAAACCTGGAACTAGGGCTGTGGCTCAAGAGGCAGAATGCTAACCTTGAGCTATATACCTCAAGGACAGTGCCCGGGACCTGAGTTAAAGCCTCATGACTGTCCAAAAAATTTTTTAAGAAATCTTTTTCTGATGGTAAGATATACTGTTTTCAAGTTTTAATTGAAAGTTGGATTTTAATATCTGAAGAGTTAAGCCAGGTGCTGGTGACTCACATTGCTACTGAGGCTGAGATCTAAGAATGGTGGTACAAAGCCAGCCAGCATAGGAAAATCTGTGAGACACTTATCTCCAATTAACCACCAGAAAAAAGAATGCTGTCCTTGAACAAAAGAGCTCAGGGATAGCACCTAGGACCTGAGTTCAAGCTGCAGCCGTACAACTGACAAAAAAAAAATATACATATCTTAGAAAGTTATACTGTGTAAACAGCTAACGTACTGAGTGAACTACAGAAGTTAAATGACATTTTTCCCCCTTTTTCTATAGCTGGGGATGTTCAAAGGAGGTTTGGCTAAACATGTTACAAAAGGAGAGCCGGTATGTTCATGACAAACACTTTGAAGTTTTACATTCTGACTTGGAACCACAGATGAGGTCAATTCTTCTAGACTGGCTTTTAGAGGTATGTTCCAGCAATAAAAATTTATTTTATATTATGGATAAACACTTAGATATTTTCAGCTTTTATGCTTCCCATGTACCCTCTGGGTATTTTGTCCATTACCAGCAAGTAACTGTCAGTACTTACTGACAGTACTCCAAAAAGTGGAATATGGTGATGATCTTAAGAGTAAAATCAAAAGTTGGAGGCGTTAGTAGCTCAGTGGAAGTCTGTGTACACCTAACTAGCAAGAGTCCTTGGATTCCATTCCTATCACCAAAACAAAACAGTAAAATCCTTAGGACACAGTCTATATATATATACGTATATATAAATTTTTTTTTCCAAACTTAGTTCCTTTATGTGTGGCTATTGCTGTGTACTGGTCTTTGTTTTAGGTGATGAGGGCATTCAAAAAGAAAGGCATGTAAAGATGAATAGATTTTGGATACTGCTGTACAAAGAAACTATGATTTGGGCTTTCATATTTCCTCTTCTATTTTACCAAAATCAAATTATGAATCTAATTTCCATACTCTAAACCATAAGGATTTGGATACTCACAGGTCTTAAGCCATCTAGGTTCTGTGTAGGTTCCTTGTATAATATATTCATTCGTATTCCTTTTGGAAATACATTATACCAACTTAAGGGAATAATAGTAATCCTGAAATCCCTATAGATCTGTGTTAGCATTTTCCCTCAGGCACTGTTTCCTTTCTACGAGAAAGTTGTTGAAGACTACATAATATCCTAAAAATTATATAATTATATATTAGTAGTCATGAAGATGATTCAGTTTTGCCATTTTTCATTCTTGATGAAGATGATTCAGTTTTGCCATTTTTCATTCTTGGTCCTGGAGATTAAACACAGGAACAATATAATATAATGCTGACCTGCACACCTAGTAATTGTCCTATCCAGTGTTTTCTGCTTTTCTCTAAATATGACTGTCTGTGCAAAACCATACAAAATATAATAAATTTAAATGTTAAAATCATACTTTGTCTTAATATTTTTTCAGCCTGGAAATGCAAAGATAAATGAATATTTGAAAATACTAGTTTATTACCTTAACAGCTTGAGAAAAATGTGAATATCAGTAGATGCAAAAGATGTCTTTTTGGAATTCAACATTCATTCATTTTAAAATATGTAGTGAGCTTGGAATAGATTTAACGTAGTTTGCTGGACACCAGTGGCTCATGCCTGTATTCCTAGTTACTTGGAAGGTTGAGATCTGAGGACTGCAGTTCGAAGCCAGCCCAGGGAGAAAAGTCCCCATGAGACTCTTATCTCCAATAAACTACTCAAAAAAAAAAAAAAGCCAGAAGTAGTGCTGTGGCCTAAGTAGTCTCTTGTGCACAAAGAAGTCCAAGGACAGCACCAGGCCCTGAGTTCAAGCCCCAGGACTGGCAACAAGAAAATTTTTTTAAAGGATTTAACATAGTTTATTAGAAACTCATATTTCTGTCCTGTTTCCTCATCTTCAAAAAAGTGAATAATAGCACCAGTTTTGTGGAAAATTATTCTGAGAAGAGTTGTTTCTCTTCTTGGCTCTGGAGATCTTTCAGTGTAGAAAAAACATACATTACATACACTATTATTATTAATAGTGAAACATTAGGAGAATTCCCTGTAAAGTCAGAAATGAGAGACAAGATAAGATTTGTTGTCAATGTATTTTATAGTCTTAGACAATGCAGTAAAATATGAAAAGTAACTGAAGTAAAAAGGTGAAAAAATTATAAAACAACAGGATGGCAATAGATCTATCATTATAGTTTTTTTCCGCTGTCTCATACTCTGGCATACTAAAAGGCAAAGTTCGGCTTAAATGTTTTCTAATGTCTGGTATGTGAAAGGATTTTCAAATCTGGAGAAATTCTGAGGATAACATTTAAATACTTGGGTTCTTCTTTAGGTATGTGAAGTATACACACTTCATAGGGAAACATTTTATCTTGCACAAGATTTTTTTGATAGATTTATGTTGACACAAAAGGATGTTAATAAGAATACACTTCAACTCATTGGAATTACCTCATTATTCATTGCTTCCAAACTTGAGGTAAGTTTTTAAATTTCATTTATAGACACATTCGTCTGAAACTGGGTTTTTATAAATCAACATAGTAATCCTAGTGGAATTTTCATTTTGTAACTTCTTAGAAAAGGTGAATGATTCTGTCCCTTAGTACACTTTGAGAACTTGATGGTTTAGAGCCTGGTGCTAGTGGGTCATGTCTTTAATCCTTGCTACTCAGGAGATTCAGAGCTTGAAGCCAGCCTGGGCAGGGAAATCCATAAGACTCTTATCTCCACTTAACCACCAAAAGCCAGAGTGAGGCTGTGGCTCCAGTGGGATAATGCTAGCATTGAGCAAAAAAGCCCAGGGACAGCACCCCTGCCCTGAGTTCAAGCCCCAGAACTAGCACCAAAAAAAAGAAAGAAAGAAAAGAAAATCTTTGGTTTATTTAAGTTCTAGAATTGATATCTAGGTAAAATGTTCATTCTATGGTATATTCTGCCAAACAAAAGGTATCAATTGCTGGGCAGTAGTAGCTCATGTCTGTAACCCTACCTACTTAGAGGCTGCAAAATCTCCAATTAACCTCCAGAAAATGAAGTGGCACTGTGGTAGAGTTATAGTAGAGCACTAGCTTTGAGCAAAAAGAGCTCAGGAATTAGTGCCTAGGCCCAGAGTTCAAACCCCATGACTGGCCAAAAAAAAAAAAAAAGCTAACAGTACTGTCTGTACACATAATTATAGCTCTTGGGTTCAAAAGAACAGTTTCTAAAAAACAATCAAATGTAAAAGTGCTCTGTTGGGTTAGAATAATGGTCTGTCCAACTTAATGTCTATCTAATGGTGTCATCTGCCTAATGGCAACTCTTCTCTGGCCTAAGACTTTCCTTCCTGATAACCATCTTCTACTTTGCTTTAACAATACAGTATGAATAGCAGTAGTACTTTTTGTAGCTGGCATCATTTTGAGGGTGGGAGAAGGATTGTATTAATAGTCTGAAGTGTTTTTTTTCTTTCCAAATATGTTTTGAGGTTTATCTTTAGCCTGTTATAATATGTGACAGTTCTTTGACCGTTCTAGTTACTTCATGAACTGCCCAGACATAAGTCTCATCAGCCAAAATATACAAAGAATTTTTGTTGTTGTTGTGGTACTTAGAATTTAAAGCTATGGTCTTGCCCATGCTTGGCAACACTCTATTCCTGAGCCTCTTACTAGGCAATATTAAACTGAAAGAAATGGTTAAGATACTATATGTTTGTTAACAACTAAGATTCAAAATCAGTAATAGGAAAATGAGGCTTGGTAATACACAGTTGCCAGTTTAGATACAAAGCATGAAAAATAACTTTTCTGCTACAGAAGTATTTTACTGGGCGTCCTTATCTTGTGAAGCTATCTTTAAGACTCTGATGCCTTTCTATGGTTTGTATCACAACTGTGCTTAATTTAAAAATTCCAATTTAAAGGAAATCTACGCTCCAAAACTCCAAGAGTTTGCTTATGTCACTGATGGTGCTTGCAGTGAAGATGATATCTTAAGGATGGAACTCACTATTTTGAAGGTAGTAATTGTGTACTTATTTCTACTTGCAACTTAGTAGTTATATGCTTAATACCAGTAGTTAGGATTGAACCTCTAATACTATATACATTACAGTCAAATCTAAGATTTTAATATATTAGCACCCAATTTTTAAAAATTTGTCAAAACAGTGTCATTGGCCAGGCAAAGTGGCTCTTGTCTGTAATCCCAGCTACTGAGGAGGTGGAGATCAAAAGGATCGTGGTTTAAAAGGTAGCCCTGACACAATTAGCAAGACTCCTATCTCAACCAAGTTAGGTGTGGTGGTACGTACCATAGTCCCAGATATGAGGGAGACTATGTAAAGATGGTGGTCTGAGGTTGACTTGGGGGGAAAACCCAAGACTCTGAAAATAACCAAAGCAAAAAAGAACTGGCAGTAGGCTCAAATGGCAGACTGCCTACTTAGCAAATGGAAGGCCCTAAGTTCAAACCCAGTACTACCAAGAAAAAGTTATGTTAGTTATGGCTGGGAGGGAAATTTTCTTAACCCTCTAACTCCTACTCTATAATGTGATATATGTGTATGTTCATTAACAGGCATTTTAAATTTTTATTAACAGGCTTTAAAGTGGGAACTTTGTCCTGTAACAGTCATCTCCTGGTTAAATCTCTTTCTACAAATTGATGCTGTTAAAGATGCTCCTAAAGTTCTTCTACCTCAGTATTCTCAGGAAACATTCATTCAAATAGCCCAGGTATTGATACTGTTCTTGAATATATGCTGATGATAATTCAAGATGTCTATTGTATAGTTTCAAACTATACTACATAACAAAATGGTATGCTGACTACATGAAAACTTTATTTCTTTTTTGTGCCAGTACTGGGGCTTTAAATCAAGGCCTGGGCTCTACTTCATGAGCCCCAGCTACACTTCTGGCTTTTTCATAGTTAATTGGAGATGAGTCTCTCAAACTTACTGTCTATGTTGGCATCTGTGATCCTCAGATCTGCCTCTTGAGTAGCAAGGATTACAGGTCTAAGCCATGGGCAGCCAGCATTGCTTTGGTTATTTTTAATGTATGGTCTCACTTTTTGTCCAGGTCAGTGTGGAGCACAAACCTATTTACACTTCTTTTTTTGCCTAGGCTGGCCTGAAACCATGATCCCCCAAACTCTTTGTCTCTTGTTTAGCTGGGGTCACAGGTATATAACATTTAGTGGTTGAGATGGGGTCTTGTAAGCTTCTTTCCTGGGCTGGCCTTGAACCACAATCTTCCCGATTTCTACTTCCAAAGAAGCCAGGATCACATATGTGAGCCACTGGCATTAAGCCAGAATTCTGTGTTTTACCTCGTGTCTCATTATTTGTATGCAAATATTAAAAAAAATTGGGGGGCAAGGGTGACACTTCTGGCTTTTTGGTGGTTAACTGGAGATGAGTTTCAGAGGCTTTCCTGCCCAGGCTGGCTCTGAACACAATTCTCAGATCTCAGCCTTCGGAGTAGTGAAGATTGTAGGTGTGAGCCACCAGCACCTGGCATGCCTTCTTGTTCCAGACTACAAGATTTCACTTGCAACTTACTGCTTCTTCTCCATTCTGAACCAGTCCCCACTGATCGAGTCCCAATTTCTAATTGAACTATAATCTATGGAATTTAAATATTAAGTTTTGTATCGCTAGGAAGGTATCAACCCAAACTTTACAAATCTTAACTCTTTTGTACCATTTTACTGCTACTTGTTCAGTTGTTTAATACTACTTAACCAGTCTCATTTATGCAAAGACTGTTCCATTCTGGTTTGTGCTCCACTCTAAAGTATATTTCTTGAAATCTAGACTTCTTAGATTTAAAATCTTTTAGTTGTTTGAATAATCAGCCTATAAAGTAGTGTTCATCCTAACGGCCCTTTATGACTTCATCTGGCCATCTCTAGCTGCCTCTGGATAAAGAATGAAGGAAAGCTAGGGCTTGTAGTGCTTATCCTCCTGAATTACTTATATTTTGCTTTTCCTTTCATTAGCTTTTAGATCTGTGTATTCTATCCATTGACTCATTAGAGTTCCAGTACAGTATATTGGCTGCTGCTGCCTTATGCCATTTTACCTCCATTGAAGTGGTTAAGAAAGCCTCAGGTAAGGCTTATCTGTTCACAACTTCTAATATGATTATACACTAAAGCTTGCCAAATATGAATTTAACAATTTTAGAGATTAGTGATCACCTTCCTTTCTGTTAGATATACTTTATAATCCTTAATGTATCATCATAAACAAATTAGGCCAAATGGTATGTAAATGCACCTGGAATGAAGCCACACAATTATAGTTCTGCTTTACAAGATTCAATCATTTCCATTTTAGTTTTTGAATACCAGTTAGTTAAGTTCTTTTGCCCTTTAAGATGGTCATGCACTACTTGAGAGTAAATCTGTTGTGATTGACTAAATGTATTGATTTTTATGTTTCTTAAAATTTGGGAGCAGAAGCCAAGTACATTAGGCATTATGTAAGAGAAGTTTCTGATGTATAACCTTTCTATTTCCCTAACTTAAATCTAGGTTTGGAATGGGACAGCATCTCAGAATGTGTAGACTGGATGGTGCCTTTTGTCAGTGTGGTAAAAAGTACAAGTCCAGTGAAACTGAAGACTTTTAAGAAGATACCTATGGAAGACAGACATAATATCCAAACGCATACAAACTATTTGGCTCTGCTGGTATGTTTTTGTAGGGTTTTCTTGGTTTTGGCCTTGCTATCAAGTCCTGAGACAGTGAATATATTATACAATAGTATACTACGATGAGAAAGGGGAAGGATGGGCACACTGATTTCAAAATGTGAATAAAACTGCTTTCATGTTAAATCAAGACTCAGGAGATCCAATGTCATAGAGGTTAAAATACACAACATACAATGTTCTAGGCGGTTCAAACTATTGAACCTTTAGAATATGGCTGTTATCCATAGTTGCAAAAACAGAGACCATTGCACTGGGCCTGACTAGTCCCAAGTAACTACCAAGTCTGGCTTGACTATTTTACTTTGTCCTTACATTATCTTAGCTACTAATTGCTGCATTATTTTTATACATATATAGGAGGAAGCAAATTATGTAAACACCTTCAGAAAAGGAGGACAAGTGTCACCAGTGTGCAATGGAGGCATTATGACACCACCGAAGAGCACCGAAAAACCACCAGGAAAACACTAAAGTTGTTAACAAAGCCAGCAAGTTGGAACTGACCAAGTACTGGGCAGAATTTCATACATCTGAACTAAAGAATTATAGGAAACTAGTGCTGTGATTGCCAATTTAAAAGTTATACCGCTGTTACTTTGATTTTAAAACGGGCACGAAAGAAATTTACTTTCTGAATTAGCTGTTAAAACAGCAGGACTTGTTTACAAGACTTCATTCACAAGGTTACTGAAATGAAGCCTGCCACAATTTATGCCATGTCAATTGTGGGTTTTTGTTTGGGAATCCAGTGTTACTACATTTATCTTGATAAACTAGGAATTTTATCATTGGAGTTTTGGACTAGACATCTGCTACCTTACCAGGGTAGGTAAGTAATACAATACTTTGAACCTCGCTTTTAAGATTCTCAGAATTCCTATCTTCTTGACTAGTGCAATCTGCTTACTGAAAATAAAATTTAAACTTGTTTACAAAGATTTATTTTGTAATAAGGTGACTAATTTATCAGAAGTGCTGTAACAAGCTATGATAAAACTTGAATTTACACAAATGGTGAGATTTACTCTGTTTGTAAGCTACTTTATTTACCTTGCAGTAACATTTTTTAATCAGTATGGCTTTGGATGAACCTGATGTTTAAACTGCTCTAAATAGGGGAAGAACCAAAGAAAATTAAAAAATGCTTTGGCTCCTATTGGGGCTTTGGCAGATAGGTTGCTTTATAATAATATTCTTTTGAGCATCATAATTTGGGTAAAAAACAAGTAATTTTTCAAACTATATGAGAATGTCACTTTATCGCTCTTAAGACATCCCTAAGAATTTTTATTTGGCTATGGTTTTGTTTGCAAAACTGCTAAGATCCATTTTAAGTTCCTGCATTATGAGACAAAACTAGTATCAAAAGTGATAAAAGTTTAACACTCAACCTAAAGTTATTTTTCTTAAGGCAGTAAAATATCCCACAGAAATTTATTTATTTAAACTTGCTGTATATACATTAGCTACTTATTCATACATGTTCTAGATTAACCATTTTTAAAGGAATTTTAGCCACATAAACTAGATTTAATTAGGAAAAATAGTATACTAGATTGCTAGTGTTATTAGACATGTGACTCGACTCTTTTGAAGAAATTGTAAATGTAAGCTATTGTTATGGTATGAAATCTTCTGTATAGTTTTTGTTTTTAAACTAGTATGTTTCAGTATTTTGTCTGAAAAAAAACCACCACTATGTACATATGTATTATATAAACTTAATCTTTTAATACTGCTTCCATTGTTTAAAAAATAAAAGTTAAAAATTTTTAATGAAATGCTTAAAAGTAAAGTTTTGCCATTGCTTGGAGGAACTTCTTTTTCCTTCTCTGTGCTGCCAGCTGTAATACCTCTTCTGGGTTGCTTGCATTCAATTCTGTCTGGCCGATGGCTTTAATCTTATCAAAAGAGAAAAGTGATATTATTAGAGGTCTGGTCAAAATGTAAATCTTGTTAGTATACATAATGTAAAGCTGCTTCAAGTTAAATGATAAAATGAATTTAACTGTAAACCTCAAGAACATTAACTTCAACTGCTTTTAAGGAAAAGATTGAACCACAGTTTACCATACATCACCAATTAGATTTTATTACATTAAGTAAATTCATCTACATTTAAATGCCTAAAAATATAAATAAGAAAGCTCTCTGGTAATCTGTCAAGTTTTATCATTAAAGCTACAAAATAGTGTGAAAATCACAATTCTTATCACAGGATTTCATATTCTTAATGTGCAAAAGGAATGAGCTGCTCAGCACATGAACATGAGAATTGCCTGAGCTAGCATGGCTCAGCTCTGCATGATTTAGAAATACTTAAGTTTTCTACTATGGAGTATTTAATGAGAACACAGTTTATGAGCTTAAAATCTACTTTTAAAAAGCTACTGAACACAATATAGAGAGATTACTAAGCAGTAGCCAGAAAAACAAAGGAGATGGCTAACATTAGAGACTGGTTTACTAGTTGTATATATGTAAGTGTAGGTCTTTTTCCTGCAAGATTCAGTGACAGACTTCCAGTAGAGGTAGAGGACAAAAAGAAACATACTGAAAAAGTAAGAATCAAAGAACAGTTTTGACAAGCATAGCTGGAGTTCCTAAACCTGGTTTATTATCAGACTACTTGAAATGCTTTAAAGCTGAATTACAGAGCTCTTTGAATCAGTAATGATGCTCATGCACAGACTGGCATTTGCTGTTCTCTAGGAGAGGAAGAAAGGGAACATGGAAGAAAAATGGTCACAAACGCTGGTTACTCACACATATAATCCTAGATATTTGGGAGGCTGACAACAAGAGGCTAGCACACAGAAAAAAATTTCCAAAGCCCCCTTTTCAACTCAACTGGGCATAGTGGTACACACCTGCTATCCCAAACCAAATAAAAAAGTTGGGATTGGGAACACTGGTTTCAAGGTCTACAGGCAGAAAAGCCCATTCTACTCCATTTCCACCAAAGAAAGCTGGACATTGTGGTATGTGTTTCTAGTTATCCTAGCAATTATAGGAAGCTAAGTTAAAAGTAGTCAGACAGCAATTCAAAAGCAAACATAGGTGTAAAGCAAGGCCCTAACCTAAAAATAACCACTGAGAAAAGGGCAGAGGCCTGGCATAGTGGTAAAATAAGCCTAACAAGCATGAAGCCCTAAATTTAAACCTCAATACAAAAAAAAACAAAACTTGTCACAAACCTGAATATCTCAATGATCATGAGAAGCACAGGAGCCAGGAAGGTCAAACAGATTATTGGAAGAATGAGCTATAATGTATGACACCTCATATTTAGCTAACACATCTGGGTATGGGTGGCTGGTGCAGAGTAAAGATGAGAATAAATGTGGCTGGCAAGAGGCAAATTTATGACTGATGCCAAATAGGAAAATAAGCCAAGAAATTAGATGAGAAAGTTAGGAAGTATAAGCTTCAAAGGAGAAAGAACATTTAACAGGTAAAAATGCCTTGAAAGAGCAAGAGTTCAAAACTTTTCATTAATGTGGGGGGGAGGGAGGAAGGATTGTAGGGCAAAAACAGAAGAGGCAACAATGCTTGATAAGAAATGTACTCATTACCTTGCTCATGTGACTGTAACCCCTCTGTACAGTATTTTCACAATAAGAAACACTAAAAAAATTTTTTTCATTACTGCCTTCCACTTCCAGGTTAACTAGACATGGGAGAATGAGTGGCCTCCAATTACAAGGGCTAATGTATGTATCAGTACTAGGGCTTGAACCAGGGCCTTAAGCTATCACTTGAACCATACTTAACATTCCTGGCTTTTTGCTGGTTAACTGGAGATGAGTCTCATGATCTTTTTCTGTCTGGGTGGGTTTCAAACTATAATCCTCAGATCTTAAGTCTCCCAAGTAACCACGATTAAATGCACAAGCCACCAGTGCCCAGCTAAACCTTGTTTTATTTTTTGTTATTAATCTATTTAAATAAAAGACATACAATATAGTCTAAATACAAAGCTTTAGAAGACAGTAGTAGTAGTACATATTTCACTTAATATGAGTAAAAGTGAAGACAATATCTGATGATACTAACTTAAAACTGTTAGGCAACTCTGTACACTTTTTACAATAAAAAATGTATTTTAAAAAAAGTCTGTTAGGCAAGGCAGGGAGCCAGTGGCTCACACTTGTAATCCTAGCTACTCAGGAGGCTGAGAGCGGAGGATCACAGTTGAAAGCCAGCCTGGGCAGGAAAGTCTGACTTTTTTTTTTTTGGTGGGGCCTGAACTCGGCCTGGGCACTGTCCCTCAGCTCTTCAGCTCAAGGCTAGCACTCTACCACTTGAGCCACAGCACCACTTCCGGCTTTTTTCTTTTTGCTTATGTG